AAGTTTAATAGATTAAGGAGCGATCATATGAGGGTGTCGTTTTATAGCATTAACAAATTACGAGAATTCATTAGGGTACAGAAAGATCCTTTGCCACGCAATAATAGGTCGAATGTAGTTTACAAGATTTCTTGTAAGAACTGTGATGCGAGTTATGTGGGACAGACGTGTAGACAACTAAAAACAAGAATCACGGAACACAAGAACCATATCCGTTGGAACACGTCTACCCGCAACGTTATAACGGAGCATCGGTTGCAAGAGGGACATGAGTTCGATTGGGACAACGTTGCAATACTGGACGAGGAACCACACTACCGGAAGAGATTGACTTCGGAAATGATATTCATCAGGAAACAGACGCATGGACTTAACATGCAAACGGATATGGAGGGGCTTCCCAAGGCCTACCTCCCGATTATTGATAGACTATAAAAGGTCGAAATTGTTGTCGCGCTTAGTCAGTCAGTGTCGCTCGTGCACAGGAAGAAGTCGGTCGGGCATTGACTTTAGATCACTTTCGGGGATACCTTTTCTTGATTTGGTGAGTAATTTTTTAACGCTAGTTTTTTAATTACTGTCTCAATAAGACCAATTAAATCAATAAGAGACTAACTGTGTCTGACACTGACTGGCTAACTTATCAGAAACCTGTTTTTGAAGTATTAAGAGTAATGTTTGCGATGCGGTATCTTGTGATCAAGGTGAGCTTCCTAATCATCGGAATAATTAATTATAATTTTAAAATTTTTTGATACATTAGTTTTACATTTTCTTTATTTCGAGAATTTCAAAATTTCTTTCCCCCCTTTTTCTTTTTTACTGCATTCTTATCTGGATTTAATTCTGGTATTTATACTCTCGAGGTGAGGAAGATCACCATGACTAGTTAATAATTGTTATATTCTATGTATGTGATTGTATTAGTTATCTCTGAAGAAGGCTCAAAAATGAGCCGAAACATGTAAGTGCTTTAGTAAAATAAAGAATTTTCACGCTACGATAGTCGTGTTATTTGCGCAACGTCTCCCGCGCTTGACTCCTACTGCCCTTGTTCTTTCATTGTTTTTTGATTTATAAGGAGTCTTAGTTAGGTTAATTTATTATACGTTATTTCTTATTATCTTTAATACTTGTTACTTTTTATTTTTAGGTGGAGAAGATAGTGAATTGTATCGCAATAGAAAAGGCTACTTTTCTCTAAACATACAAGTAGTTATTAACGCAAAATTGGAAATAATTGACATAGTAGCGCGTTGGCCAGGATCTGCACAAGATTCAACTGTATTTAACCATTCAAGAATTAAGAGTTTGTTCGAGGCAAACAGATTTGGTGATGCTTTACTCCTTGGAGATTCTGGCTATCCGAATCTGCCATATTTAATGACTCCGTTACTAAATCCAACAAAACCAGCAGAACATCTTTACAATGAAGCTCAAATTCGAACACGCTCAAAAATTGAAAGATGTTTTGGAATTTGGAAAAGAAGATTCGCAGTGTTATCTATTGGATCGCGTTTTCATACAGTTCAAAAGATGCTTCCTATTGTTATAGCAACAGCTATATTGCATAATATTGCTCAGCAGAAAAATGAACCAAATGTAATTAATCCTGAAATATATGATAATGTTATTGCTGAAGTACAAAATGTAAGAGTGGATAATATGAACATCAGGGATGAACGACAACATTTACTTTCGGAGTATTTTGAAAGGTAATGAATATTGATGAAACTTAATTATGGCATATGATAATTTGATAATTAACATATTTTTATTTACAGATTACTTTAAAAACTTAAAATAAAAAGCATTTGAAATTGATATCTCTTTAATCTGAATGTAATCTAAATGTCTCTCTCTAATTTTTTTCACAATATGTAACATGAGAAAAAATTACACATCTGTATTTAATATAATTATTGTAATACAAATAAATACATGTTTATATATTCTTTAAAATAAATAAATATACAATTATATACAATTATATACTTACATTATTCTTTATTGCACCACATTTACATTTTTAACAATTCTTTTTAGAATAAATTGAAAGAACAAGTATAATATAACACACTTTTCAAAATAAAATAAGAAATTAACTCTTTCCATCCTCTGATAAAATAAAATTAACCAAAATAACTACAAAAATAAAGAAATTATATTGCAAAAAATTTAAATCTATTGAATACTATTCCATTGAATATTATTAATGGGTATTCTTCAATTATGAAAAATAAAATAAGAATAAATCTTTCCAATTAACTATATCACAGAGTATAACATAGTGTAATACAGTGTTATAATTGAGAAATATTATCACCCAATATTATATATTATAGATACTATATATATTAATATATTATTAAATACTGTATTATGTATTAATACTGTATTATATTAAAAAGTCTTTGGAACATTATAAATGATCTTATAAGAGATATATCAGTCTCTTTCTTTTTAATTACATCTTTTAAAGCTTTCTCTCTTTCTATTGACACTTTTAATAATTCTATTTTCAACTTTTCTTTTTCAAGTTTAGCTTTTAGTAAGTCGATTTCATAATCCTTTTTTTCTTTTTCATTTGTTTGTAATGTATGTAGTAATTTAAGTTTAGCCTCATTTAATATTTCAGTATTATTTTCGAGTTTGATTTTTTTGACATTTTTCGACGTCGTGGCTGAATGCTGATCTTGAAGCGGAAAACTTTTTTGCGATTTTAATTTATTAGTATCCCAAGATTTCCATTCATTAATTTCTTTACTTTCAACTAAATACTGAAACAAATTAAGATAAAATATTAAAAGATAAAAGATATAAAATTTAGAATATATTAAAATTTCACACACAATTTATTAAATAATTTGCTAGTAAAACTTATTGAAAATATCTCTTGTGGATCATTTTCATTATCTTCATCTTGTAGGTCAATAACAGTGTTCTTTTGTAATTTGTTATCAACAGTACCGATAGTGTCAACATAATCAGAATCAAAAGGATTAGCTAAGCCTGATACTGTTGTATCACCTAAAATTTCCTTCGCTCGCTCGAATATAGGATTTTTTTCTAAAGTGACTACTCCTCCACCTACAAATGCAATAAAATATATCAAATTAGAATCTTAATTATAGCTTCAATAATAAATATAATAATAAATTTAATAATAAATACATTTACCTGTTTTATAAGTTTCGCGTTTTAATGTTGCATAGTATTTTCTTGTATCTCTTTTAATGTTATCCCAACAAAGTCGTAAATTTTTTTCTGATCGTATAGTTGTTCTATTTTTGTTATATTCAATTGTAATATTGGTCCATGCTTCATCTTTCTTTAGATTAGTTATCGGTTACTTTATTTTCAAGTACATGACAATATAAAAAAATGATATCTAATAAATCATTCTTTTCAGAAGTAGTAAACTTTTTTGCTCGTTGCATATTTGCTTGCATATTGTACCACTGTTAATTATGTATTATTACTTGTATATTTAATAATTTTAATTGAATTAATTTTTCAAATAAATGTTATATACCTTAATCTTATTCACCGCTTCTGTACACGATCTTTATTTCTCTAATAAAACATACATTTACATTTATATGTATATTTATTTTACATTTATTTATTTACATTTACATTTATTTTAGGTTCTCGTCCGACAGTCTGAGAGTACTACATAAATTGAGGTTATAGAAAAGAACAAGAAATTTCCCTCTCTGTTCCTAGTACGAAATGTTTCATTTGTCAGTGTTGGCAACACTTTAATCAACGATTAAATTAATCGAAGTTTGGTCGAAGTGGCCCTAAGCCTCTATAATGGCTACGTTTACACCATGCATTTAGGCCGCGGCGTATACAATAGATGTTCTTGTTTATCCTGTAGGTTGAACAAAGACACCTATCATATAGGTCGCGGACTAAACGTAGCCATTGTCTCCAAAGCCTAATCAAGCGTCGTAAGCATTTTGCGACTTTAAAATTGATGCATCGGATTGGTTGGCGCAATAAACTTGTGACCTGCGACGCCTACGATACAATGCAGATTAGGCTGCTGAACAAGTGTTATCAGTGCCGAAAGGTGCGCACCTAATGGCGAAATTAGACATTCCGCCATGATCAGTGCTGGCCAGCATTAAGTGTATTTATGAGAGTTATCGAGAACATCACCGTTTCCAAAAATAAATAAGGTGTCAAAAATGTGAAATCTCCAATTCCCGCGGAGACGATCACAGGATTTTTTAATCCTAGAGTTATCCATGATACTATGATCCTTTGAATTGGATCGGAAAATCAGAAAGGGGATTATTCTGAACATTGTGTGTTATATCGAAAACGCCTCTAGAAACAGATAACCGAATACCGTAAGTATATTTCTTTGGATGATTCGTTATCGATTTTATTGAGGTTATAATTATCAACAAAGCAAATTTTTCTTTCTCACTATTTTTATAATATAATTAAATTATATAGTTTCAATTTATATTTTATTATCGGAAAATAAGTACGCAATATCAATATTTGTTAATCTTACATATGCATTTTACGATTATAAGTCCGGATCTACAATGAGTAGGTTATTGTCCTAAAACTTATCGATGAAATTTTGGCTAAGTGGTTCAGCACAAATAGCCGTAAAT